TATTGTGTGTTCATGTTTGTGTGTGTTCATGTTCGTTCACGCATGCATGTTACTGTGTGTTCATGTGTGTTCATGCATGTATGTGTTTGTGTTCATGTGTTCGTGCATGTGTGTTATTATGTGTTCATGCGTGTGTTCATGCATGTGTGTGTTTGTGCATGTGTTCATGAGTGTGTGTGTTCATGAGCGTGTGTGTATGTGAATTGCCGGAGCAGGAAGGCTTGTCCTCCGGGCGCCTTTCTGGTGGTCTCCACCTGCTGAGGGGCCCTGGCTTCGTCGCAGTGCGGCTGAAGAAGGAGGAGAAGAGCCGGCAGGAGCTGGAGAAGCTGAAGCGGAAGCTGGAAGGGGAGGCGAGTGACTTCCACGAGCAGATAGCTGACCTGCAGGCCCAGATCGCAGAGCTCAAGATGCAGCTGGCCAAGAAGGAGGAGGAGCTGCAGGCGGCCCTGGGCAGGTAGCCCGGCTGAACACGCTGTGTGTGTTCGTGTGTCCCGTGGGCTCCCGCCGGACCAGAGCGGGCCCCACCTTCCTCCTCCTCCAGGCAGGCCTCCGTCCTGCTGGGTGCCTCCCCTGTCTTGCTTGTGTCTCCAGAGCCGTGCCGGTGACTTTCTTCTCTTCCCCGCAAGCTCAGCTTCTCTCTGCGTCTCCCCTCCACCTCCTCCATGCCTGCCTCTCCATGTCCAGGCCTTCCCTTGTCTACACTTACACACGGAGTCCGTTCCACTGGCCTCTCAAGCACCACCTGCCTGAGGCCGGGACGACCCTCCTGCCCCTCCTTCGGAGGGTCTTTTTTGTGAATGCCAGTCTCCCCTTTACTCTGCTGCTGGCTCTCCGCCCACCCCCGGGCTGCAGCAGCCCTCACACCCCACGGGCCCTTCGAAACCTGTCCCTGCACCACCCGGTTTGCCTTCCCCCCAGCTCCCGGCTGGGTTCACGCTAACGGGCTCGCACCGAGAATCCAGCAGCTACGGTGGTGACTTTCCTGTTCACTGTGTGCCAGGCTCTTCCCAGGCAGTGTCTTCACACGCACTGGCTAGGTACACTGCTGTGATCTCCGTGTCACTGGGCAGGAAGTGGTGTGTGGGGCGAGGTGAGGGAACATGTGACCATCACACCGTGTTTTGGAGGCAGAGCTGGGGTCTCAGCCCCAGAACTTTCTGACCAATCCCCCTGCCAGCTCCTCCTCCAGTGTGTGCTGCAGGACGGCGCTAGGGTGATGGGCCAGAGCCATCACCTGCGTTGTGAACCCGCGTGGAAGACCTTGCTGGTCTGTGCAGGGAAGGCCAGCTTCCCGCCTGCGCAGCCTGACCCTAACCCGACCATTTAGGGTTCTCTCTTAGTTCTCCCCATTCCCAAACTCAGTACAACCTGGGTGCTCACCTCCCCCTGTCCTGAGGAATCTTGCCTCTGGGCCCTCTTTCATGCTGTTCCCTTTCCATCCATCACAGCAAAGCAAGAGGCCAGCTCCACCGTGCGTCAGGAGGGAGCTGTTTCCATGAGATTCCTAATGCACACCAGGCCATTCAGACAATGCTTCTCATCCCCCACCTTGACCCCACAGTCACTGCGTCCCCCACACTGGGGGCCCTGGTTTTAATCTCTCTCCAAGCAACACCTGGCCAAGTGCTTTACATGGAACCTGGAGCAGGCTCCATGCCACTGTTTGAGCAAAAGGAAGAAAGGAAAACAAATAGCTGCTGAGGAGAAACAACTGTCCAGTGTTCACAAAGTCTCTATTAAGCTCCTGGTGTGAACTGGGCACCTGGCTCGTCTGGGATCATGCTTTGCATTCACACACACACACACACACACACACACACACACACACTCCACAATCTATTTTTTGACATCACACAGGTCCCAATCTGCAAGCAGTCCCAGCCTAGCAAGAAGCGGTCCACTGTGTCTCGGGGACATGGGTGGGACTTGTTTTGATGTCTGTGGTAACTGGTCCCAGGAAGCAATTTTTGGCCGCATTCTGAGGTCTCCGGGGGTCTTCACTCTGGTGATCTGTCCCCGGCAGGCTCGATGATGAAATTGCTCAGAAGAACAATGCTCTGAAGAAGATCCGGGAGCTGGAGGGTCACATCTCAGACCTCCAGGAGGACCTGGACTCAGAACGGGCCGCGAGAAACAAGGCCGAGAAGCAGAAGCGGGACCTGGGGGAGGAGCTGGAAGCGCTGAAGACGGAGCTGGAGGACACGCTGGACAGCACGGCCACCCAGCAGGAGCTCAGGTGGGAGGCCGGCCCGTGGAGCCCAGCGGCTCCCCCTGCCCCACTGCACGATGGGGTGGCCGGTGGAGAAGGGGCAACCCCCAGGCACATCCTGAACCCCTGGCTTGCTCAGGCCCTACAGTGACCCTCTTTAAGAGAGGCACAGTCCTGTCTCATCTTATTTTGCATCATGGTAGTAGGACCATTTCAAAGCTATAGAAACGTAGACACCAAAAGCATCATCCTTAGTCCCAACACGGCTGATGTTTTGGGGTATTCCTTCCTATCCTTGTCGTGTGTGTGTCTATGTGTGTAAATAATTCTCCAGGTTCCAGTCTCCAAGAGTGTGTGTGGGATTTTTGTGATAAATGTTGTAAAAAAACATTGGTTGGATCCAACATTTGTTGGATTCTTGGAGGCTAACGGACACCAGCAGCAACAACAAAAAAGCACCCCAACACAAACACACAACCCGTCCCCCAACAAAAACTGGTCACCTGCTAGATAATGCATGCTGACCTTAGTGAAAGTAGGTCGCTGATTCACTCAACGCATATACAAATGTATTTTTTTAAGACTTTAGTTATTCATGAGAGATACACAGAGAGAGGCAGAGACACAGGCAGAGGGAGAAGCAGGCTCCCTGCAGGGAGCCCAATGTGGGACTCGATCCCAGGACTCTGGGATCATGCTCTGAGCCGGAGGCAGGTGCTCAACCACTGTACCCCCCAGGTGTCCCTATACAAATGCATTTTGAGTGCATCTGGCATCAGGTGCGATGCTAATGCTGAGACTGATTACCTACACTTTGGGTTTTGTGTCACATCCCTTACCTGTGCTTAGAAGCCAGCACGATATTCTGCTCCCTTCCCACCTGGCCCATGATCCAGGAAAGCCCAGTGCAGTGTTTAAACACCTGACCACGTGGGTTCAGATTCTGGCTCTGTCACGTGGTGGTTGTGCCAACGTGGGCAGACTGCCTACCCTTAGCCTTAGATTTCTCATCTGTAAAATTGGAAAAATTAATATATGTGCCTCTGAGGGTTACCCTGAAGGTTATATGAGGTGATGTACATGAAGAACTTAGGTCAGAGCCTGGCACATAGTAGGTGCTCAATAAATAAGAGCTAATACTACTTTTTTTTTTTTTTTTTTTTTTTTTGCTGGTCTTAAGAGTTTCTGGGCGGTCACATGCTCCTCATTTTGCAGCTGAGGAGATCCCAGGTCCAGAGAGGTCAGGTGACTCAGCCGAGGTCACCCAGCCAGGGAGGGCTGGTGGTGGATGGAGACTTCAGTGCTGGGTCCTGGGAGAGCTCTTGTTCCTCTGCACAGCGCTGTCTGAGGGGAGCCCCATTCTCCCCTCAATGGCCATCCACTGTGTTCTTTCTGTCCAGGGCCAAGAGGGAGCAGGAGGTGACGGTGCTAAAGAAGGCCTTGGATGAGGAGACCCGGTCCCATGAGGCCCAGGTCCAGGAAATGAGGCAGAAGCACACACAGGCAGTGGAGGAACTCACCGAGCAGCTGGAGCAGTTCAAGAGGGTACGTCGTCATCTTTTTGGGGACCACACGCAAAACAGCGACGTGCACGCAGCTTCAAATAGCTACATATCAGGGTCTGTGTGACCCAGACAGATAAACAGCGGGGTGCCTGGGTGGCTCAGTGGGTTAAACGTCTACCTCCAGCTCAGGTCATGATCCCGGGGTCCTGGGATCGAGTCCCGCATCGGGCTCCCTGCTCAGTGGGGAGTCTGCTTCTCTCTCTCCCTCTGCCCCTCCTCCCTGCTCATGTTCTCTCTTGCAGGCTCTCTCTCTCTAACGTAAATACATTTTTTAAAAAGATTTTATTTGTTCATAAGAGACACACAGAGAGGCAGAGGGAGAAGCAGGCTCCATGTGGGGTGAACTTCCTAGCTTGTGACGTCCGGGTTGTATCCCTAAAGATCTGAATCACCTCCATCACCCTCGGTGCTATGGCTTCCCACATCCCTGCACTTTCTAGATATTCCCCCCGAAGCTAGACTAAATGGGGGTAGCATTACCTAAAAATTGTTGGAGTTTGCATTTGTTTCTGTCACTGGCCAAGGTGAATATTCTTTCAGGAGGTGATGTAGTGAGCACCTTCAGGTGAGCTGGTTTATGGCTACTTCTATCAGAATCTGAAAATTTCCTGCACATTAAAATAATGGCAGCCATCCCTTCTGTAGCCCCAACTGTGTGCTAGATACTGTCTCATTGCTTTACAAACACTAATTCATTTCATTTCCCCTGTGGCCTTGCTAACATGCATATCTCCAGGCCCTGTCTTCCAGCCTCATACAAGCAGTCTTAGGACTGCTCTTGGAAGAGCGGAGTGCCGAGAGAGCCCCCCTCACCCTCCTGATGAATAAAAGGACACTTGTTTGTGTCCTCTTGTCAAATGGGATCTGAATACTAGCCTTTGACATTTTGCTAATACTTTATGTATTCTGGACGAATAAGATTTTGCTAATTGTACCTACAAAATGCATTTCCCCCTCCAGTACTTTGTTGAATGAAAGTGGTGAGAATGGACAACCTTGTCTTGTTCCTGCCTTTCGGGGAGGTCTTTCCTCAGTTTTTTCCCCACTGAGTATGATGCTCCTCTTGTTTTTTAAAAGTCAGAATTGTTGACGTATATGCATTTTTACCTGTATACCTCACCAGTTTTAACTGTATAGTTTAATTTTGATAGATCTATGCTTTTTTGTATAACCATCACCTGTCATGATCTAGAACATGAAATTTAAAAAAATAGCTGGAGTTCAGATTTCTATGTAACATTTCTTTATTAAAATGTTGGCAACCAAGAATAGGTCAAACAGGATGTGACAGCAGGTTGGATGTAGCTCGTGGAACGCTGGTTTGTCACCTTGAGCTTGAGAAAAACAGAATACAGAAAGTCTTGTGGTGGCTGTGTGTCCGCCACGTTGCCATGTTCCTCCCCTGTGGGGACAAGTCTGAGTCCCTGGAACCTACCTGATGGAGGGGTTGGGGGAAACAGTAGCAAGCGGTGTGCCAGGTAATGTGGGCTCCCATCTCAAAATGCTTTCCTGGTCAGAGCTGTGATGCTTTCCTTCCCCTCTGTTTGTTTGGCCAGGCCAAGGCCAACCTGGACAAGAATAAGCAGACACTGGAGAAGGAGAACGCAGACCTGGCCGGTGAGCTGCGGGTCCTGAACCAGGCAAAGCAGGAGGTGGAACACAAGAAGAAGAAGCTGGAGGTGCAGCTGCAGGAGCTGCAGTCCAAGTGTAGCGATGGGGAGCGGGCCCGGGCCGAGCTCAATGACAAGGTCCACAAGCTGCAGGTGAGGCGGCAACACAGCAAGCATCCCCCCTGGTCCCAGCTCCGTGGGGGCCGAAGCTCTTCCCAGCTAACTGAAGTCTCTCTTGCTGAAAAGCAAGTTGGTGGTCCTCTTGTTGCATGCTCCAGTCTGTAGAGTCCTTCATCTGCTCATTCAACAAGTATCGGAGTATCTGCTGCAGGCCAAGCTAAGATATAACAGCAAGAAAGACACAGGCCCTGCCCCTGCCCCGACAGAACTCCGACCTGAGGGAGGGAAAGGCATTTATAATCCCATGAATGAATGTAAAATGATGTAGTAAGGGTAGGTAACAAGGGGCCTGGCCTGCGGGAGGAGGAGTCGGGAAAGGCTTCACTGAGAAGGAGGTACAGTCTGAGATAAGTAGAAGTCTAGCAGGGAGAGGGAACAGCACGTGCAAGGGCCCAGGGGTAAGTGGGAAATTAGGAGAGATCACAGAAGTAGAGCTAGAATGCTGAGCTGCAGGGGAAACATGGTATAAAGTGGGACTAGAGAGGTAGGTTGTGGCCGGGTGACACAGGGTCCTCCAGGTCCTATTATATGTACATTTGTCTTTACTCTGAGTGACAAGAAGCCATTGATAGTTTTTAAGATGAGCAATCACAAGGTCTGTTTGTCTTTGGTCTTACGTAGCTTTGACGAGACATCTGGCCTGACTTCCACTCATGGAATACAGGCAGACTTTCGATAAATATTTAATGTGCTTACAGTCTGGGACAAGGGGGCAAGGGGAGCATTAAATAGGATTTTTTCCCCACAAGCAGTGGAGAGCAGGGGTTCTGCTATCCTAACATAAGCGATGTCCTAGAGGAGTAGAGTCAAGATCATTTATATCCTCATTGTAAGTGGGAAGAGGACGGATGGTAGGCTGATACCTCCAAAAGGACCTGCTCCTGCATCTCTGGTTTTGGCCATGGGGCCAATGAAAGGGCAAAGAGTAAGGGGTGAGGAAGAAGGTGGTGGTAAAAGGGCCCCTGGAAGCGGAGGTGCCGTATGTATCCTCTTCTCCAACGTTAGGGAGTAGGTGAGTCCAGAGCAGCTCTGTGTCGGGCTCTCGAACCTGCTGTTTCATTTTTGCCAACCTTGGCAAGGACCCAGGATCTATTTGGTGGGAACAGAGTGCAATACGAGTTTGGGGCTCTAAGAGGTTCTTAGAACCAGGCATCCCAACTTGTAGGTGACACACTTTCTGTGGGAGCCACGGAACTGCCGTGATCAGCCCCATCATGGCTCGGGTATTTCTCAATCAGTGTATTCCCACAAGACCTATCATGTGAGTTAAGAGGGCTTCTCTAGCTTAATAAGGGTCCCGCTCTGGAGGTTCTAACCACAGTCTCTTGGCATCCTCAGAACGAAGTGGAGAGTGTCACAGGGATGCTCAATGAGGCTGAGGGGAAGGCCATAAAACTGGCCAAGGATGTGGCGTCCCTTGGGTCCCAGCTCCAGGACACTCAGGTGGGTATCCTGCCGCCCACCCAGAGGGACCCGGGGTAGGAGCTTCCTGCGTGTGGGCCCCTGGGACTTCTGTGTGTCCTTTTGTAGGAACTGCTTCAAGAAGAAACTCGGCAGAAACTCAACGTGTCCACCAAGTTGCGCCAGCTGGAGGATGAGAGGAACAGCCTGCAGGACCAGCTGGACGAGGAGATGGAAGCCAAGCAGAACCTGGAGCGCCACATCTCGACTCTGAACATCCAGGTGCTGGCTGTGTGTCCTTGCTTTTCTCGGTCTAAGCCGCGAGGGCCCATCAGGAGCTCGGCTGTGCTCCAGTAGAGCACTGGCTCACTGGCTCCCCCTGATGTTGAATGTCTCCAACGAGGAGAAAGCGGTCTCTTCCCAGGGTGGGGGTAGGGGATGGGAATCACCCAATGGCCCTCCTCTCACCAGACCCTGGGCACTGCCGTTTTAGCTCTCCGATTCGAAGAAGAAGCTGCAGGACTTTGCCAGCACCGTGGAAGCCTTGGAAGAGGGCAAGAAGAAGTTCCAGAAGGAAATCGAAGGCCTCACCCAGCAGTACGAAGAGAAGGCAGCTGCTTATGACAAACTGGAAAAGACCAAGAACAGGCTTCAGCAGGAGCTGGACGACCTGGTCGTCGATTTGGACAACCAGCGGCAACTGGTGTCCAACCTGGAAAAGAAGCAGAAGAAGTTCGATCAGGTAAGGGCTGGAGGGTGGGCCACTGTGTTCGAGGACATGGGCTGGGGTCGGTGGGTCTGTGAGGCAGCCGGTGTGGCTGCTGTGTGCCTGCACCCCAGCCCCTGCTGTGCTGGCAGCTATGGAAAGCTAGCTTGCCTTGGGTGACCCTAAAATGTGAGGCTCAAGGACGGCGGCAATGCCCGGGCCTAACTGCCAGGTGCCCCCCACCGTGATGCTCGCCCGAGACTCCACCAATGCCTTAGTTTCTAGCCCTGGAATGAGACTTATTTTATTTACTCAGCAAGTATTTATTGAGTACCTCCTGAATATTCCAAGTAATTTAGTGTTTCCACCCTTTAGATAACCACGTTCCCCTAACATTTCATTTTGGAGAATTTCTAGCACAGTGCGACGCTCAAAGCATGAAACAGGCAACACCTGGATTCGATCATCAGTGTTTTACCAAACATGCTTTATTACATGTTTATTTATAAGGATAAACTGCAGCTGTCAATGGCATCTTATCTTTTGGATGCATTTCAAAGCAAATTACAGCCCTCCCCCTCCATACCTCAACACTATCAGCTAGAGTCAGCTAGAGTTCTCGTTTAAAATACAATTTTGCTTCTTGTGAGGTAAAAATTTATGTGGAAATGCAGAAATCTTCAGCGTACACTCTCTTGAGTGCTGATAAATGCACATACCTGTGTGGCCTAAACCCCTAAATACCAACTTTGTATATGTTACTCAAATCTAAATCTAGCAAATGTCATTTGGTTTGCAAGTGACTTGGGGACTGTCCTAAAAATCAATTTGGGGATTGTGCTAGGCCAGCGCCAGAGGCATGGGGGCCCAGAGTACCAGGCTTCTAGGTGACGTGCAGGCTCTTCCAGTTTCCGTCTTGGTGCGGTCAGCCTGTCCTCACTGCTTCCATTCTGCTGCTCTGTTCTCAGTTTGAAGGCCTGAGATCACGTTTTTTATTTTCCTGTCACCTATTGTGTAGGATTCTGTGGCAACTGTGCTATTTAGGGGGCCCCTATTACTAACCTGTCTCTGGTGACTTCTAGAAATCTGGTTTTTGGATGTTTCAGTGTATAATATGCTGAGCTCTCTGCAGATGAGGTTAACATCAGGACAGTGTGTTCTTTGAATCGTCCCTCCAAGCAGAGGAATAAGTGTGTGTGTGGGGGGGGGGCGCGCGCAGTTCCATCCACACACTCACCCTTTCCCTACTCCAGCTCACAGAGCGCTTTAGAGAGCCGGCGTTGAGTGGCCATGAAAAAACAAAAACAATTATTGGCTCCTGGTGGGATTAAGTGTCACTCTGACCTCAGTAGTAGTAGTGTGTTCTAACCAACACGGGAGGCACAAGTGATTTCCAAGCACAGAGGCTGGGCAGATGCTGGCTCTGCCTAAGGCTGACCTGGAAGTCAGAAGCAAGCTTATTATTAACTCTCTCCATAGATACCTTAATTACTTAGACCTGCCCCTGAATAAATTTAGCAGGACACAATGCTTCTAGCCCATATTTGCAATGACATGAAGGCCAAACTTTGGGTATGCCTTTGGGTATCACCTCTGGGGCTTTTGTTGTGTTACAGTTGTTGGCTGAGGAGAAAAGCATCTCTTCCAAATACGCGGATGAAAGGGACAGAGCGGAGGCAGAAGCCAGGGAAAAGGAGACCAAGGCCTTGTCCCTGGCGCGAGCCCTCGAGGAGGCCCTAGAAGCCAAAGAGGAACTTGAGAGGACCAACAAAATGCTCAAGGCCGAGATGGAGGATCTGGTTAGCTCCAAGGATGATGTGGGCAAGAACGTAAGTCCCTCTTCATTGTCCTGGCTTGTTTATGTTTCACCAACCCACCGTTCCCACTATTTACCAGTTCATGGGGGTGGGATGAGGGGGGCTGGCTCTGTGCCTCTTTGATGTGAAACGATCGGGAATGAAGGCTTCCCTCTGACTGTCACACATGGGGGCTGGTTAGGAACAGCGGTTTGCATGGGGGGCTGAGTCCAGGGTTCCCAAAGGAAAGGCTCTGGTCTTGATTCCTGGCCATGCATCCTGTGGGTGGCAACAAGCCACCTCTCTGACCTGAATGAGCTTCCTGTCACTGTGGGTTGCCGGACCACCTTCATGAAGCCAACTCTCATGTGAAAGGTCCATGAACTGGAGAAGTCCAAGCGGGCCCTGGAAACCCAGATGGAGGAGATGAAGACCCAGCTGGAGGAGCTGGAAGACGAGCTGCAGGCTACAGAAGATGCCAAGCTGCGGCTCGAGGTCAACATGCAGGCCCTCAAGGGCCAGTTTGAGCGGGACCTCCAGGCCCGCGATGAACAGAACGAAGAGAAGAGGAGGCAGCTCCAGAGGCAGGTAATCTGGATCAGGTCAGGGAAAAGCGGGGACAGGGAGGTAGGTAGAGCCAGTTTCCTTCCACCACCACCTCCTGGCCCAAGGGAGACTTGGTTTTCTCCCCTGCAATCTGGGGAGGAGCAGACCCACCTTGCAGGGGATTGTGCATACCTGGGAGCTTGTTGAACACTGGCTGAGGTGGGGAGAGGGCCTCCCCATGGGACAGGTCAGCCCAGCAGCGCACATCTCCCCTCCTCGCTCAGCTTCACGAATATGAGACAGAACTGGAA